TGGAGTGAAACAAGATATATTTTGTTTTTTCTGTATTCAAAGATAATTTATTTACTTTAAACCAGATGTTGAGGTTTTCGAGGTCAGTGTTCATAGATTCGTAGAGGCGATGACGCTTATAGACGGCGATGAGTAAAATAAATTTGTATCATCAGCGAACATTATGACATCAAGTTTTTTTTAGGGCTTTTGGAAGATCGTTGATATATATTAGAAATAAAAGGGGATCCAGAATGTTTTCTGCTACACAGGTAACTTTCGAACCAGTCAAGGGATATATTTTTAACACCATATCTTTCCATTTTTTTAAGTAAGGTATTGTGATTGTGAGTCGAACGCTTTGGATAAATCTATAAAAGTCCCTAATACAATTGCTTTTTATCGAAAGAATTACTCATGCTATTTACAAGATCTAAAATAGCATGTTCGGTTGAGTGTTTTGTTTGAAACCCAAATTATTTTTTGTTTAAGAGGTTATTTTGAAGGAGATATTCGTATAATCTATTGTAAACTATTCTTTCAAGTATTTTAGAGAAAGTAGGCAGTATAGAGATCGGTCTGTAATTATTTAATAAAGATGTTTCGCCTGTTTTAAAAATTGGTATAATTTAAGGTGTTTTCAATTTATCTGGTACAATACCTGTTTTAATTGATGATTTAAATATTTCGAAGATCGGTTTGCGTATCTCCAAAAAGACATCGATAACAATATTGCGACAAATATCATCTATACCAGGAGATTTATTTATTTTAAGAGATTTTATCGTAACTTCAAGTTCTTCAATTTTTAGTTTGTTAAATGCTAATTCGTTGTTGTTATTAGTTAAGTATGTCTCAAATGAGTTGTTTGGACAATTAACTTTTGTAGCCAGGTTAGGGTATGTTAACAAAAAAATTGTTAAACTTTTCTGAGATTACGTCACTACTGACATACTCTTCATTATTTATAACATCTTTAGTAGGTAAACTATTTGGTTTGCAATTTTTGTTCCCAATTATTTAAAATACATACTTTATATATATATTTTTCTTATTATGTATAAATAAATCGATTTGCAGTTAATACATGTGGTGTATTTTTTTCCTTTTTTAATTCGATTACTATTTTAAAATTAATCAGATGACGTGTTTGTTGAATATGGACATTTGAAAACTATAAAAAATTGTCATGTTTTTTTAATTTGTTACTAAATGTATAAATGAAAATATCTTTAATTTTACAAAACTATTGGGCATTTTTTTGAAACCGCAATCCATCATTCGTATTTTATATGTGTGAACTAAAGTCTATGCAAATATCTGACGTAAACTTCAAATTGTGTAAATTAATAAAAATTATATCAAATGTTACTAGGGTTACCTGTCGGCCGGCTTTTACGGAGGAGAATACAGCGCCAAACCTGTAAAAAATATTTTTTACTTTGTTTTCCTTCGTAAAAGCCGGACATCCAGCAACCCTAAATGTTACACATTTACTTTTACTTGAAAATGGGCGATATTTGCTTAATTTTGATTTATATGAATTTTTTATAAAACATTTATATGCCGTTTTATAAAGTTTTATAAGCCATTAATTTATTAAATAGTGTTGAAAGATAATATTTTAGCATGCCAAAGTGATTGAAGTAATTCGCGTGGGTCTAAACCTTTTCGTTTTCACACTTAATTTTTTTTTTTTTTAATTTTTTCCAATTTTCTCGAATACAAAGTGAAGCAATTTGTGCGCATTAAAGAGATAAAAGATATTAGAGAGATAGCTTTCTTTTTATAGAAAAAAGATTTTCCATAGCAACTTTACTTTTCTTTAAAAGTAAATAGAAAATTCAAAGGCAAGAAAGAAAAGCCTTATAACAGGAATCTTTTTCCAGATTTTAAATTTTTTCGTGTAGCCAAAAAGTTTTCCTTACATAAACAAGTTTAGGAATACATTTTTGTAATATATTTGCTTTTTAAGTTTTTTCACTCATAACTCATACTAAAATTAAAAAAATTTGAAACAACTAAGCTAAAAGCAAAGTTAAGAGGAAAGTAAGGGAAAATATATACCGGATATTTTACCCAAACAATATTCTGGATTTTTATAAAATAACCTTGATGATCTATGGAATAAGCTACTGATGGCCTGAAAAAAAAGTTAATAGAAACTTTTAAAAAATAACAAGGTCATATATATATATATATATATATATATATATATATATATATATATATATATATATATATATATATATATATATATATATATATATATATATATATATATATATATATATATATATATATATATATATATATATATATATATATATATATATATATATATATATATATATATATATATATATATACAATGAAAAGTGTATGTCAAGCAAAATAACAACTTCAGAAAAAGTTTTTTATATTTCTAAAAAGATATTTAACAAAATACAACAAAATATATTTAACACTAGAGGCCTTTTAATGTTTCATCAGTAGTGCTAGTTTAAGTGCTGTTATGCAAAAAAAAAAAATTTTATGTGAAAAAGTATAATTTTTAATCAATTAAGGTATTCTTGCTAATATATTATTTAAAATGTTTATCATGTAATAGCCAAGCAACATACATTGGAAAAACAAACAATTTGAGAAATCGCATAAATGGTCATATATCAAGTTGCAGAACCGGCCATTCAACTGACAGATTTGACAACCAGGTTGCCATCGTATAAATAATAAAATAACGGAACCGTTTTTCTAACTTTTTTTTTTTCTAGAACTTAAAAGTGATAAAAATTTATTGTCGTATGAAACTCATTTGCATAAACAAAAACATGATACTTTTAACTAACACTTCCTGTTTTAAAGGACATTAGCAGTGGTAACTAATAGCAACAATACCTTAATTGATTAAAAATTATACTTTTTCACATAAAATTTTTTTTTTGCATAACATATATATATATATATATATATATATATATATATATATATATATATATATATATATATATATATATATATATATATATATGTATAAGTATATATATATATACATATTTTTTTTTATAAGCATATGAAGTTTCTGAAACAGGCTCGGGTATGCTTAAGCAAAAAGTTAAAAGAGTCTCAAAAATATGCTTAAACTTAAGCATATTTATAATAAAATATGCTTATTTCAATACTTTCTAAAAATGCGTGCGTTACTAAAGGTTAATGGTTATAAGAAAAATAAAAAGTCGACTTTAGTGCAGTATAATAAAAAATAAAAAATAAATACTATATACAAATGTTACCAATGAAATAATAAAATAAATAAAATTTGAATTTTTTAAATGGTTTATCGAGGCTCAGGAATATGCTTACATATGCTTATTTTTTAAAGTAAAGTGTATGATGACATATTATGAACAACATGTTGGTGTTTAGAAGGAAGGCTAGTAATTTTTGTGAGGGAGCATAATTTCTTCTTGTGAGTTTTAATAACAAAGAGTTTTTTTTTCTTTATGTTATTATTAATTACTGAATAGTTGTGTAATTGTTTCTTACTTGAGATTTTAAACCATTTAATTTGTTCAACAGAGATTTTTGTTCGTTGATTCGTTTATGTAATGCACTTTTGAGTTATCGCTTTTTTTATCGAAATTATATCCGACTGGTTTGTATTAGATTAAAACCTAAATACTTTGGATACACTTTAAATAGTTTGCAGTTTTTAAGAAAGTTTATATCCAAACAAGCTTTGTCACTTTTAACATAAAGCTTTTCTAGCTTTCGTAAAATATGTACGGCTAAAATTCCTTGTGAAGATTTTGCTAGATCGTAAAATATATTTCTTGAGCAACGTAATAGCAATAAATGTGAACATATTTTAAAGAAAAACACGATATTTTTTAATCTTGACATGTTTCATAGTTAACATACTACATTTTCAAAAGATAAAATTACAATCTAAAACTCTGGATATAAATATAAATTCAAAATTTGAAGACATTACAGAAAAATATTAACAGACAAATAGAATTGTTATAAACCAATAAAAATTATAATACAAATTATTATACCGTAATAGCATTAAAAAAAAAACAAAAACAAAATAAACAAACAAAAAAAAACTAGATTGACAAATTTATATTATAATGAACAGTTTGTTTATTTAAAGATGGGTTTTCCCATTTAATATAGAGTGCTTCTTTAATTTTCTATTTGCTTTTGTTTGGAGCAGTATATAAAATTTTGAAGCAACTACAGTTACTTAGATTTTTACATGAATCTCTTTGCAATGACATCGCAAATGGAGGATGTTTTTATTTAACGGTAAAAAAGGAAAGAAATAAAATGGAGAAAAAAAAATTAAAAAAACATTTTAAAAAATATCGAATAAAAAAAAGATCAAAAGATATAAACAAATAAAGATAAAAAGCAAGTCAAAATAACGTACCAAATAGAAAAAAAAGATTCGGTTAAAGAAAAAATAGTTCGAAAACGTAAAGTAAAAAAAAATAAAAGTACGAAATTATGTTAGTCTACCAGAAACAATAATATCATAAAAAGAAAAGAACAAGAAAAAACTTTTAAATTTTGTTTATTGAACACATTGTTTATATTGATGTGTATTTTATTGTCATATTTATATGTCATGTATTTTTGTGTATGCATTTAATGCATTTTTTACTTTTATTAACCTTAGTTTTATGTATAATAAGTGTTTTTTTGTTTTTATTTTCTTTATTTGTTTATTATACTTACAATATATTTTTGTTATTATATTATAAAAACTAAAATTATTATATTTATCGAGTCTTTGTATTCTTTTATCGATAATCGTTTTTATGTCATCGTTATTAGTTACGTTTTGTCAGTTTATTACTGTTTGTAACTGTAACTATGTACAGGGCCGGTGCAAAGGGGTTATGACACCCTAGGCAAAACTTCAAAGGTCGCACCCCTTTTACGTAAAAAAATCAAAATAAAATGCAAAATAAAGTGAAAACACCAGGTAAGTATTTATTTATTTAAAAATATCAAAACTGTACTTTGCGTGCCTTTTTCTGGGCAAAATCGATCACAAGGATCTTCAGGTCCAGCTTGTCTGCAAGTTCGTGCTCAATGGAAAGAGTTGCCAACCCAACCAATCTGTCTTGGCACATGGATGATCGAATGTATGTCTTTATCAATTTTAGTTTGGAAAAACTACGCTCTCCACTAGCGACAGAAACAGGTAATGTCAGCAAAATACGAAGAGCAATACAAAGGTTGGGTAGACTGTCTTCCAAGTTTTGGCAAAGAATAAATCGAAAAACATCTTGAGGAGACTTTGTTTCTTCAGAAAGTCGTCGTGCAATAGACTGTAGTTCGCCACACAAATCTGATGCAACTAAATCTCTGTTATCACCATGTTGTAAAGCAGATTCTAGTTTCATGCAACATTCCAATATTTCTTGTGAAGTTTTACTCTGTAGACCATGAATATGATATAAAAAACCAAATACAGATTCAATTGTTCTCATTTGTTCAAACCTTTCTTCAACCGACCTTATTGCTGTGTCAAGTATAGCAAAGAAAAAATTCACTTTGAAATTTTGTTTTGGATCTTGCACAGGCTCATCTTCAGCTTCATATGCAAATTGCTTTTTTCTCCGCCGTAATCGTGGTTCTGCCTCAAAGGTTGGTGGTATCTCCAAATCCTTAGCAATTTCAGCAGCATCCACTAGCATTCTTGCAAAACCTATGTCACTCCTACAGTGTGTTGTAACTGTTGTACAGCAGCATGAATATCCAAATCTTTAGCTTGGAGCTGCTTACTTGTTATATTGATTTCAAAAAGTATGTTGTACCATACAACAATTGAAACCACGAACTTAAACTTTGCAACACTATTCGCAAGTGCTTTAGCATCACTGCGTGCAGTGCTTCCTGAGGATCCAGTTAGAGAAGTATCATCAGCTATTTCTAGCAGTGCATCATATATTTTACCAAGTTCATATCGCAAAGGCTTTATAGCATCTACTCTGCTTTCCCATCTTGTTTCACTTAGAGGTTTAACAGTTAACGTAGGTTGATGACTAGTGAAAACTACCCACCGATGTGTTGAAGACGAAAAATATACATACACACGTTGGACAATATCAAAAAAACTTGTAGCTATTAGACAACAATTTACAGCATCATTGACAACCAAATTAAGAGTATGCGCGCTGCAAGGAACAAACAATGCTCGAGGATTAATGTTTAATATTTTCTTTTGAACACCATTATTTTTGCCTATCATATTTGCGCCATTATCGTAGCCTTGGCCACGTAAATTATCAATAGGTAACTCCATTTCTTCTAGTTGTTGTATTATCGTTTCTGCCATATAGGCTCCAGTTGTTTTCTTTAAAGGTACAAAGCCTAAAAAATGTTCTTTGATACTAAACTCCTTTTTCAATGAATCAACTTTAACAAAACGAATAATTATACCGCGAAAAGCTAGATTCTGTTCACCCAAAACTCTCACTAATGCTATTAAACGCTTTAGTATTTGCTCCCAATACTTTCTTCATTCTTCATCTTGCGCAAAATTTCTGCATCTATTGTACTATCCCTCCGTAATCGCTGATGTAGTTCTTTCCACTTTTGATAGTTCTGCAAATGTTCAGGACTTTTCTTGTGGGAAGAATAAATTGCCGCCATGTTTTTCCAGTCACTTGAACCTGTATGAGTTAGTGATGATATGCCAATTGCTTTCATACTGAACAGTTTGCAACAGAAACAAAACACTGAGTCTTTTAATACTGAATACAAGAGCCAGCTGCGACATAATTCTTCTCCATTAGGAAGTTTTCTTAAGTAGTGAAATACTGAAAACTTTCGATTGTTCTTATCATTTGGGAAACTGATATCTTTTATTTGCTGAGGTCCACGTTCTACAATGATTACACGTGTATTATGATTAATTAGTAGAGGCCAAAGTGCTGGATCCTGTGGAATAACATTATCCGTTTTTTCTTCACTTGCTTGCTGTACATGTTCCTCGAGAGAATTATTCAATTGGCCATTATCTGCATGGGAAGCGGGAACTGTTGAGTAAGAAAGTGTTTCACTCATCATCACATTATCATTATCAACAACATTAGATATTTCTTCAGCTTCCATATCAGTGGGAATCTGTCCACCATTACTATCCTCTTTAGTAGAGTCTTGTCGGCATATAAACTTTAGCAATGAACCCTTCTGTTTTTCTTGTTCCCTCTGCTGTTCAACTTTTCGTTTACGATATTGAGCTCCTGAAGGCTTCTTTCTCTCAGCCATATCTGAAATGTAACAAGAAAATAATAAAATAAATGAATGTTGCGATGTTTAACTAATACGTTAATAGGTCTTCTGTGATTGGCTTCAAGAATAAATTATATATAGCTAGCTATAGTTTCCAACAGGTCTGAACAGCTCTGTAAGGTTTTAACAGGTTATCATTTAACTGTATTATACAAAAAACAACTTGGCAAAGTTATACGTCCTGCTAGTATTTTTTGTGTTTTTTAAACGGAAATGGAAGTTAGCTATATGAATGAGATTTCAATGTGTAATTAGCTGGTGCAGATCAAGACATATTGTAGAAGCGACTCAACAAAAAATTTAACCTGCTAGATGCATTGTGTTTAAATAATTCAAATTTTATTTTGTATAGCAAAGTTATACGTATGGTGAAGTATAATAATAATATAATACGTAATATATAATAGCCCTAGATTTAAGCTAGTTATTATATATTCATATAAAAAATATTTTACTTTTCTTAATAAGTGTCTAAAACTTAATATAAATGTATAATAGTATATAGAATGTCACTATTCATCTATATGTATATATATATATATATATATATATATATATTGTCAGTATAAATTATATAAAGAATATAGTCGACTAACTATTGAAAGTTGTTATGAAAATCACTTTGATTGTAAAGACGCCGCCATATTTGTTATGATTTAGATTGCGTTCGGTAAAATGTACGTACATATTGCTCAATGAGCAAAAGCGTTGTTTTTTGTTAGCATATAAAAAAACTTATCAATTTTTAGGCGCCCCTAAACTTTGGCGCGCTAGGTGATTGCCTAGTTCGCCTATAGGGTGCACCGGCCCTGACTATGTATATATAATTGATTGTTGTATGGAAGATTGCATTGATTTAATTCTTTTAGTTACTGGTTTTTATAATTTTTTTTGACGTATTTAATGAACAGCCTTCTATTAAATATTTATTTAACAACTCCGTTATATATGTATTGTATTTTTTATTATCATATTTTTATTTTATTCATTATTATGGGGTGTTAATTATACTTACTGGTACTATTATTATTGTTATTCTTATTATTATACAATTAATTACTTTTATTATTGTTGTTTTGTTAATTTATTGCTATTTTTATTATAACCATAACTATGTGTCTATAATATGTTTTATGTCATCAAAGAGGTTTTTACTTTATATTAGTTTTTATAACTATTTGTAACGACCGTGGAAGTTAGATCTTTTTTCAGAATATATAATTGATTGATAAAAAAAAAAAAAAAAATTGATTGACAATCAACAGATGAAATTAACAATAACAATAATAACAATAATATATATATTCTGAAATAAAAGTTTACATTTCATGGTTGTTTACTAATAGTACAAGTACTAATCTAAGGTAAGCACCAATTAAATAATAATAGCAATCATATAATAATAATAATGTAAATTAAATGAAGACGATTATAATAATATCAATAATACTATTAAATATAATAATGACAATAATAATGATTATATTAGTAATAATAATAACAACAACAACAATAATAGTAATAATAGCAATAGCAATAATAACAATAATAATAATAATATTAACAAATATCACATTTATATATTAAACAATTTTAATAAGTAATAATGACGGTAATAAAAATGAAAATAAAATGTAAGTAATATTAACATCACATATGATAATCATTCTAATAACATAAGTAATAATAATCTATTATAAGCCTAAGATTTTAGAGTATTTTTCTATCAAAAAGTCAAAAAGACGGGTTTTAAATTGTGAAAAAGAGTTGAGGGATTGAAAATAAAAAGGTAAATTATTCCATATTAAATGCTTATAAACATATATATATATATATATATATATATATATATATATATATATATATATATATATATATATATATATATATATATATATATATATATATATACATATATATATATATATATATATATATATATATATATATATATATATATATATATATATATATATATATATATATATATATATATATATATATATATATATATATATATATATATATATATATATATATATATATATATATATATATATATATATATATATATATATATATATATATATATATATATATATATATATATATATATATATATATATATATATATATATATATATATATATATATATATACAGTGGGTGGCCATTGAAATAGGACCATTGAGTTTTCTACACATTTTTGTGAAATTTATCCATAATGTAAAAAAAAATAAAGGTTTACGGTAAAAAATATTTAACAAATTTAAACAATAGTTGTTTATTATCAAATATAAATATAAAAACAAATGAATTTTTCTTGGCATGCTGTCAATGCATTTCTGTGCCAATTCTTTTATGTGAGAGTTTCAATGCCAACCTTCATTTAGTTTTTCAATGAGCTGGGTTTTATTTGTCACCAGTTGTTTTGAAGAAACCTCCCGTTTTAATAGCTCCCACAAGTTTTCTATAGGATTAAGATCCGGGGAATTTCCTGGCCAATCCAGCAGTGGAATTTTTTTTCTCTCCGAGAAACTTTTTAATGGATTTTGCCGTATGGTATGTGGCAGAATCTTGCATAAATATAAATTCGCCATCTGCAAACCATTCCGAGACTTAAGGAATGAGCTTTTGCTCCAAAACTTCTTTGTATTGGCCCTGCCTCTTTGTCCCTTGGACTATGTAAAGCTTTCCCGTACCCTTACCACATATAACGGACCATACCATAATTGACAATGGATGTTTTACTGTCTCGATAATGCAGTCTGGATTAAATTTTTCACCCGCCCTTCGTCGCACAAATGGGACTTTGTCGTCCAAGATCTGAAACGTGGATTCATCAGAAAAGCACACCTCAAAACAAATGTTTCAAAAAATGTTAGTCTTTCATTAATCTAAAGAAAATTGAGAAATAAAGCAGAGCATGACATGTTTAAGAAATAAATACCTTTCTCCAATCATCTGTTGTCATATTGCGGTGTTTTATAGCCCATTTCAGTTTTTTATCCTTAATGGCAGGCGTTAATTTCGGTTTTTTCGCAGGACGGTAACACTTGAAGCCTAACTCGTCTAAGCGTCTCCTGACTGTGCGATTACTAATATTAATTCCAGGATCTTTAATCAATGCTGTAATTATTATTCTGGGTTTCTTTCTATTCTCCAAGCAAATATTCCTGATAATTCTCTCAGACCTTGGCGTTGTAAGGCGTTTTCCTTTACAGTTTTTACGGAGTGTGGATATACGGTTTTCGCCAATTTTTATTTTTGATGCTATTCTTTGCATGGTCTGCCTAGAAACGCCAATTCTTCTTAAAGTTTCTTGTTGAGAATAGTTGGCGTTCCTTAAAAGTGACATTATTTCACTTTTTTTACAAACATTCACATCTTTTTTTTTACCC